TTGCTACACTGTTTGAAAAACATCAAGCTTTTTTTTTTTTTGCTCTTTCGTTTGGTTTTGCTTTTTTCAGCGCCATACCAATCAATGGATCCCGCTATTTCATAGAAAAATGGCGAGGAAATAAGGCAAATGTTTTCGTCATACAGCTAAAGTGTATTACGTTTTTGATTGCTAAATCAGCGGCACAGGCGACGTCTATTGCCTCCTACTTCCTTTATCTGTCTATTTGACCACATTCTCCTCAGTAGTCCATCCATCCATCCATCCATTCATCCATCCATGCATCCATGCATCCATCCATCCATCCATCCATATTTATTTATTTATTTTCATTTATTCATTCATTCATTTATTCATTCATTCATTCATTCATTTATTCATTCGTTGATCCATTCATCCGTTCACTCACTCACTCATTCACTAACTCATTCACCCAATCACCTATCTGCCTGTCTATCTAGCACTCCATCCGTTTCATGTATGCTGCTTTTCTGCCCTTCCTCCCTGGCATTCGAGTAGTTGCGTAGTGTGATCGTATAAAAAATCCACTCACATATTCATTCATTCATCAACTTACGCAAAATTAAAATAAAACCCCAAGAAATAGCCAGCGGTCATCTAGGGGGTAGTAAGAAAAAAGAGGATGCAATGACCAAAAATGGAAAGAATATATAGAGGAAAATATTTTATTGAAATAGTCAAAAAAGTAACTAGTACTACAAATTTTTTCTTTTTTTTTTGCTGAATGTCTCATATCATCTTGCCACTGCAGTTCACCGCAATGTTGCTCCTTATCGAGCGTGAAATGTGATCACTGATTGTTTAAAAATGTCGGCTACTTGTAATCATGTTTACAAGTAACGTGAGAAATAAAATTTATCTGCTCTAAACCGTATGGGAAAGGTTTTGTAGTAAATTAATTGAACTAAAAGAAAATACGAAGCATATATTTTTATTTTTATTTTTATTTTTTTGATGCTTTTGCTTTTACTTCCCTATCTCCTTTGGAAGAAAAGTAAGCAAGACGAATAAGTTGATGCTATTTTGCACAATTTTTTTGTATAAATTTTAATTTTTTCAGAAGTGAAGAAAAACGGTATGTAGTTTTGTGCAACACAAATAAGCGGACTGAACAAATGTGACTTAATGGCTTTCAACTTTTTCACATAATCGTCTTAAATTTTCGATATAATTTCCGTTACGGTTTTAAGATCTCTTAACATAAGCATGAAAATTGTTTCATTAAAGTAAAAACTTCTCCATAATTATTGTACTGAAAAACGGCACTAAGCTGTGAGTTGTTTTTTGCCCAAAAAGTTCCAAAGAAGATTAGGTGGTCAGAAAAAGTAAAAAACCAATGGCTTTCTTTTTTTGATAAAAGATAACATAACAAGTAAATACCATCGAATTGCAAATGTTCGAGTGCGCCTTATAGACTTACATCTCTTTTTCTGTTCCAATTTTGCTTTTTTCAAATGTTCATTAAATCAACAAGCGTTAAGCTGATAATGCGATGAACAACCTGGAGAAAGTGTGTACTTAGACTAAGAGTGCCCCTAAAATCTGATCAGCAGTATGACTTATGACGTAATATGAAGCCATTAGTAGCATCAGTTAATTGAATAATTTAGTCTTAAAGATCCAGGGCAAGGTTTGTACTGTACGTGTTCCCTTATTTATCCTTTGTGAATTAATATTGGCTTTTAAGAGTATTTTTTTAAAATCAATAGCACTATAAAGACCATCACTTTCGTCATTAAAATCACGATGTGTATCGAAATCATACCCGTTTTTATCAGAATACAAGGAAAAATGAGTGACTAAACAGTTATCGGTAGCTTTCAACCGTCCGCTCGGTCTTTTCTTCCCAGAAGTTAACTTTTGTTGTCGTTGATGTCTCCTTCAGTGCCTAATTTTTGACTGTTTATCAATTCGTAAAACTGATTTAGCAAATATTGAAAAAAATTTTTGTCATTTTTTCTAACATTTGTGACGCAGAGAATCGGGCAAAATTAAAGCTTTTTTTCAATGTTAAGATAAAGTTTTTTCTTTTTGAAAAAAATTCCACTATGGAAAGTTTTTTTCTTTAATGGAAAATTAGACTTTTAGGCACTTATCCAAACAAAAAATAAAATTTTTTTTCCAACTTCCAAAGTGTTTAACACATATAGTTGAAAAAGATAAATAAAATAAACCAATGAAAAAAAAAAGACAAGAAAGAAAAAAAGTTAAGCACACTAACGCGTAGTTGGTTGTTCCTGTCTGAGAGTTTGTTTCCTTTTATAAAACAAATGTCCGTTTAGAATCTGTTAATTTTCTTCTCTTTTTTTCTTTTATTAATCACTGTCTAGTTTAGCAAACAATATCTTCAGTTAAGTGACTAAGAAGACAAACAAAATATAAACTGATAGAAAAAATAATGAAAATAAAATAAATTTCTTTTAATTTCAACTAGCTGAAGCGTAGCAGCAAAAGTTCAAAGAAAATAAAAGAAAAAAAGCTGCTTAAGAGGACAGAAGAAAAGAGAAGCAAAAGAAGGATTTTCGTAACCAAATTTAACTTTAACCGAGTCTATTAGAAAAAACAAAAATGAAAATGACTAAGCAAACTTATATCATAATTTTCCTGCGCATTCTATTCTACTTTTTCTTAGGAGGTACAATTAACAATTTTCCTTTTTGCTAATCTTTATCTTTTTCTTTACTGCGATTACATTTCCTTACAGTTTTTTAACCCCAACCTCCACCTAACCGACATTTCATCAACTCTTTCACCATTCCATCCCTCCAACTTTGATTATATGCGTGAAATAATTCATCTGTTCACGGCTTAGCTAACAGTTTTGCACCATTGTAAAATGAAAGAAAATTGCTTTTCAAATTGAATGTTTAATTACCTCAAACATTTAATCGCTCTAAAAACCAAACAGTAGTAACTGTTGTGAAGAGAAGGAGAAAAAAAACGAAATTTAATGCCAAAAAGCAAACTATTAATAACGGCAGAAACAACAACAGCAGCAAAAAATGAGAACAAAAACAGGGAAAATTTAAATACAGCAAAGGTTTCAATTAAAACAAATTACTGTTGTAAATGACAGCAAGGAAAAAACAAGCTAAGTCAGTAAAAAAAAATTAACGAACTTGACATTGTAAACGAATGATGACCAAAGATGAAAGAACGTTAGGTTT